TCACATCAGTTCACATCTCCCTCTATCACCTTATATTGATAAGAATATTAAACAGATAGATAAATAGACAATCAACCAATCTTGCCCTACATGAATTTTGCTAATATGCGCAAAATCATACATACATAATTATGGCAATATGTACATTTATAACTATACAACCTAAATATCTCTAGATTATGTGTATGTACTGATTAATGTAATAAGTGAAATTTTAATAACTGCGTGTTACATGCAGTCTAGAACGTGTATGCATATACATGTACAGTTGTCTGGCAATGTGGTAGATGTTGAGAAAACATCTGGACATCTGTCACTCATAATCCCAACCTCTAAGCTTGTTGATACTCTGGCAACAGCCAACATATTTCCTTCATGTGTATACTGGCAAGTTCTCATGATAAAAGGAACCAACATAAGTTTTACATCTTGCCCAGGTATGTGCTGGAAATTTGCTGGCTTTGGCATTATGTGAAGCTGAGAGGTTTCAGTGATCACTTGAATCCTGACATTGTTGCAGACTGTAGGCTATCTATCACAGACCACAGGTTCAGGTGTGTATGGATAAAATACAGCTTACATAAGAAACAGGTACCATTTTGAAAGCTACTGTGGGTGTCCTCTGAACACTGAATGTCTAAACAGTACAATCAAATCAAACAGTTTCACATACACTTGAATTATTCACAACAAAAAATACACATCCAAAAAACACTTTATATACAAGCACATAAACACTTTCCATTGGCAAATATGCAACTAGTTATCTTGCTCCTGAAGTTCATTCAACACACACACTATTTCCTCTCACATAAATTCTATTTCTTCATTTACAAAGAAACATAACTTTTCTGGTGCGTTTCAAGCAGCATCACACTTTGTTCACCTCTAATTAGCGTCTCGTCAAGATTTACTTCTTCGACGAGGTATGATTTCACTTCTGAATCAATAGTTTGGGCGAGAGATCAGGGAAATCCACCTTAATTATCATATTGAAGCCGTATTTCATTTTTTTTTTTTTTTTTTGGGGGGGGGGGGGATAGGTAACAGTTCACATAACATTGAATCATAAATTCCTTCATTAACATATAATCTGACCTATACTTCCTAACACAGAAAAAAAAGAAAGAAAAAAAAAAAAGAAAAGAAAAAAAAAAAACACTTTTTTTTTTTTTTTTTTCGACAATCTCCCCCCCCCTAAGCGAGCAGAGGAGCACATTTCCCCCTCCCCCCAGGACAGAGGGAGGCGGAGAGCTCACCTGTTCCCTGAAACCTCACCTGTTCCCCGAAACCTCACCTGTTCCCCGAAACCTCACCTGTTCCCCGAAACCTCACCTGTCCCCTGAAACCTCACCTGTTCCCTGATACCCCTGAAACCTCACCTGTTCCCCGAAACCTCACCTGTTCCCTGATACCCCTGAAACCTCACCTGTTCCCCGAAACCTCACCTGTTCCCCGAAACCTCACCTGTCCCCTGAAACCTCACCTGTTCCCCGAAACCTCACCTGTCCCCTGAAACCTCACCTGTTCCCTGAAACCTTACCTGTCCCCTGAAACCCCTGAAACCTCAACTGTTCCCTGAAACCCCTGAAACCTCACCTGTCCCCCAAAACCTCACCTGTTCCCTGATACCCCTGAAACCTCACCTATTCCCCGAAACCTCACCTGTCTCCTGAAACCCCTGAAACCTCACCTGTTCCCTGAAACCCCTGAAACCTCACCTGTTCCCTGAAACCCCTGAAACCTCACCTGTTCCCTGAAACCCCTGAAACCTCACCTGTTCCCTGAAACCCCTGAAACCTCACCTGTTCCCCGAAACCCCTGAAACCTCACCTGTCTCCTGAAACCCCTGAAACCTCACCTGTTCCCCGAAACCCCTGAAACCTCACCTGTCTCCTGAAACCCCTGAAACCTCACCTGTTCCCTGAAACCCCTGAAACCTCACCTGTTCCCTGAAACCCCTGAAACCTCACCTGTTCCCCGAAACCCCTGAAACCTCACCTGTTCCCCGAAACCCCTGAAACCTCACCTGTTCCCCGAAACCTCACCTGTTCGAAGCACGAGGCGATGTTGGCCGTCACCAGGAGGACCCGAGTACTCGCTCTGCCTGCCATGGTAACCTCACGAGAGCCTATGGTGCCAGTGCCAGAGAGCCGAGAGTGCCAGTGCCAAAGTCCCTGGGCCGAGTCACGAGCGCCGAGAGTGCCACCGCCAGAGAGCTCCGAGTGCCAGTGCCAGACTAACGGGGCCAACTCAGTGCCAGCAGCAGGTTTCCCCCCCTGGAGTCGAGGCTGCTCCTGTCGTGGGGCTTCCCTTTATTCCATTAAGGAGCCATTCTGATGAGAGCCACCTCGACCCCCCTCCTCTGGCTCCTCTGTCGTGTTATCTAAGGCACGCCTCCTTACGCATGAGCTTGAAAATACGACGAGAAGAAGCCTCCTCCTCCTCGATCCTCCACAGAAAACGGGGGCGGCTGGGGAGGAGCGGGGGATACGGGCGC